CCTTTGTGAGTACAGTGTGAAATGGGCTTTTATGGCCATTTTGAAGAAGAGGAAATGGAGGCTGAGTTTAAGAGACCTGCTTGACATGGTCCAGGGAAAAGGGGTATAGATGAGATTTTTGTCCAACTTGATTTTATAAATTCAGTTAGTGCGGAGCAAGTGGCTTGTCTGAGGTCACACGACACAATGAAGCCTGAGGCTCTGAGTTGCTAACTTCATTCCAGTTTTTGCTGTGGATGACTCTGCTGTCCTTACCTGAATCACATAGCCAGAGGCATGTTTTCTCAGGTTGCTCTGCAAGTGGAAAAGATATCATGTTGCCTCTAGGAAGCTAAGCAAAAGAGTGCTTTCTGGTGGTATTCTAAAGACCATATGCCTTTCAGGCCTGCACCAAACAGAGGCTTGCACAGCCTGATTTCTGACACACAGCTCAATCATCACGAGTCCTGGTCTGTGCTTCAGTAAACACAGGGCTAGCGTGATGCTACGTCATTAGAGTGCTAAATGGTGTTTAGACCAATTCCTGGTATGTAGAACCTTCTCAATGTCACTTCCCAGGTCAATATCATCTTTTGCTTGCTATTTATTACAAAATCCACACTCACTGAGACAAGACTGTTTGTCATTTAATATTCACTGACATGAATGCCAAACTTCCATACATCAATTTCCACATCCCATTTTATAGATGAGGAAACTGAGGGCTGAGCTCTTTCTCAAAGTCACACCCCTAAGAAGCAGCAGACCTGGAAGGGAAACCAACTGTCTAATCCAGGACCCTTTCCATGCTGCTAGCTGCTTGGCTTTCAGCAGCTCTTGGGCCTATGCCTCTACCTTTTTTTCCCTTCATAGGACCTGGCTCTCAAAGCTGGCAGGCCACCTGTCTGCAGGGACCGCTCTGTGTTCTCGTTCTCAGAGCTGCAGGCCCTCAGCTGCCAGTCGCCCAAGCACACTCATGTAATCTTAATGAACAATGTGCAAAGCCATTAAAAACTCAATTAGGACTTTCTTTTTACTGCCGACGTGAGGAAATGCAATCCTGAGGTGCTCATGTGTAAACACAATAGCCGCCATCTGCTACTGAGAAGCGTGCTGCCTCCAAAAAGGGTATCTGTGTGGCAGACACATCAGTAACAGGGCGCTTATCAAGGCATTATTATGCACGGAGGGGGAAATGCAAAATTTATGGCTAGCCAGAGAGTACTTCCTGGTTTAATTCCACGATTTTCAGTGTTATGTATAATAACTACGAAGAAACTAATGCTGTTTTATGTTCCTTATCACTGGTGCATTTTTTTTTTAAGGGCAAAGGAAAAGACTGTATTTACAGTCTTTCTCTTTCTTGTTTTTTGACTGATCTAGGCATAATGACTGGCTCATTTTTGATCTCTAGGAAACCGACATCCCTGGGATGATATTAATTATGCCAACCTGTTGATCAAAGAGGGCCCCACTGAGTTGCTGCAGAACAGGGCTCTCACACTTGAGTAATCTTAGAGATGGCAGGCCTGGCTCAAATGACTCAGGGATACAGCATCTTGCTTTTCTGGAGGGTGTGTGGCCAGACCTCTCATGGAGGGGCTGTTGGTGTATTATTCCAGACCCTCTAAGGTGCTACACCTGCTTTCCTGACTGCTGTGGCTTCCCGCCTCTGTGCCTTTTCACCTCCCCTTCTAATTCAAAGCACCCAGGGTTGCTTCTCTTATTGGCACCGAAGTTTACAGCATCTTGCAACTTTGCTTCGTACTTTCGATTCCCTGAATAAAGGGACCTGAGAGAGATAGCAGGGGTCTTACTGAGGAGCCCAAATAATAATGACACTGCTTTGGAAATACAAATCTCAAATTTTCATTGGCTCCATAATCCAATAATACAACGTTCATTCTTTCTAAAGAATCCTTCTGTGTCCAAAATGAGTGCTCCTGAAAGGTGGGTGACCTGCAATATACTCCTGGCTCTCCTGGCTCTCCTGGCTCTTTCACTGTGGCCCTACCCTCTCATGAAGTACTGAAATCCTGAACATTCAGCATTGCTGGGAGAAGAGAAGGGACTGGTCATCTCCATACGTTCATGCGCGTGCATTATCCACATGAGGATACACCACATGAGGCTCTTGATAGAAATGCAGGCACAGATGCCACAGGGATTATGGAGTCTGAGATCTTCGTGTCTTCTGACCTCTTAGGTGTTGCTGAGGCTGTGAATGGAGCATTGATTAGAAAGAGAAGACACTGAAGGATAGATGTGGGCAGGAAGCTGGTTATTAAGGACCAAGTACAGACCAGGTGCACAGCATACTCTGACTGCTTTTGTGGCTCCTCTGAACAATGTAGGGAGACTGGACATTTCTTCTGTCTCTCTGTTCAGAGTTATGTGTGAGGTTGCACTCGGTAGGATAAATGGCCACATCCTCTAAAGGCCTGCTCAGCTCCTGAAGCTAGGATGAACAGAAGTGATGACGTGAACCTGTAGAAAGAGCCTTTCCTAACTTTCAGTGCTGTGAGGTCTAGGTCTAAGAAGCCGCAGGTACAAGTGCAATGGTCTAGACTGGCAGGAGCTGAGTGGATATGGAAGTGGTCATGCAACCTGGGGCAGAGAGAGTCTAGCACATTTTACTTTCCAGGCTTTTACCTTTTTCACTTTCATGAGAGATACAAGTAATAGCAAAGATATCCCACCACTCTGAAACATGTGGGCTATAAGCCATCTGTCAAAAAGACCCACCAGAAGCCTGCAAGCAGGCTAACAGGCGCAGGCATGGATGCTAGCTCAGTCTCATCTCTAAACCTCAATTTGTCCTTTAATTATTCATCTTTTAATTATTCCTCATTGGGGCCTGATAATCATTATATAACATCTGTAATAGGGAAAGAGCTTTCCACTCACCCTTAGTTTCTGCCTGGTCATAAAGGGGGGGGGGTGTTTCTTCACACCCTTGACAAGTCTTGTTCCATATTACTGGACAGTACCCCAGGAGCTGGCTGAGTTTTCTGCTTAGCAGACTACTGAAAATCTGACCTTAGTTTCCTCTGTCCTTGCCATCTGGCTTCGTTTTTGAGTCTTTTTTGATAAGGACTCATCTGAATGCCATCTCCCCCACAGTGGTCACCCCAGAAGAATAGCTTTGCCCCTAGGAACCCGGACTGTGTTAGGGATGGATTCCAGGTCATTCAGATGCTTTTTCTGTTTGGATGTGGGGAGTGCTGGAAGCCCAAGTTGGATTCAGGACTGATATTTTCTGTAATCCAGCTTTGTGGCCAATTGTACAGAGGTTTTTAATATAATCTCCCTTCTGCGTACACTTGTAAATTTGTTCAGAACCCAGGAGACAAGGTGTAAATGGTCTGGACTATCTAAAAACCCTATAAGAGGTAGATAGCCCAACCCTTATTAACTTGCAGCTCTTAGTCCTTCTGGTATCAGGGTGAGCGAGGCGACTTATGGCTACTGAAGTGGCTCATTTTGCCTGGGGATAAGAGGTCTTAAGATTTCACTCAGAATGAAGATTTTAGTGGTCACAATAAGATTTCAAAGCAATGCTAGTTTTCTAAATGGAAAACATTTATCCCAGCGTTACTGGAGTTTATCTACTGTGTTTTATGATGCATTTTATTCGGTAGAATCATATGACTTCTAAGCTGCAGAGTTCAGCCTTCGCCCTTGATTGTAAAATTCCACTAGCTATCCTAGCTGGTGCAGGCTTTGAGGTGCCACCTGCATCGAGGAGGGCTCACTTTGTCCCTGGGCAGTTGGTTTCACTTTGCACAAATTTCACTGGTTATAAAACATGTTGTGTAACGAGCTGAGATGTGCCTCTTCATAGTGAGTTGAAGCTTGTTCTTGGGAAGCTTTATCAATTAGCCAACATCACAGCAATGTTGTATGAACACTGAGGAGGAAAACAGTGGCAAACGGCAGTAAGCATTGATTCTTAACACCCACGGATCCCATGCATTGATTGCACGTTGATTGATGTGGGCTAGATAGGTTGACCACATGGCTGTGCATGTTGCTTTCAAGTGGTGGAGTTCGGCTCTTTACCCGTGACCTATCTTTGTATGGTAATTCTTGATTCCAAGCCAATTGGGATATCAGCTCTATGTCACACACACACACACACACACACACACACACACACACACACACACACAAAGTAGTGGAAGATGATCAGCTTCAACATCTGTTTGACTTCTATTAACAACGCATGTAAAGGAGCCCAGGGTCAAGAGATAAGCCTCTGGTTCTACAGAGGAAAACTGTAAAGTCAGTGCCAAAGGCCTTGGATCCAGAGAGGGGCAAAGAACAAGAGACAATTTCTTTTTGTTACAACAGCTTCACTCCTGTCTATGACCTAGCCTTTGGCATGCTTAGAAGCAGTTACACCTTCTGCAAATAGATTCCTAATGTTAATACAAATCTCCGAGTGCTTAGTGAGTGCTGTTCACTTGGCATGCCTCCTCAAGCATCTTATGGTAGGCTCTCAGACTTTTTTCTGGATTTATTTCTTTCTCAGATATGGTCTATTTGTGTATGGTCTCCTTTAATATGGAGTCTCCCATGCTGAGTGCAGAACTTCAGATGAAGTCTGTCCATACACAGGACCTTTCCATACTGCAGGGGTTCTGCCTAGGCTGGAAGAAGCCCAAGCTTATGTGAGGCCATTTCCCATCTCCTTTTACCTGTAGAGACTGAAGTTGACTCCCTTACTGTGTTTTAATCCCTGCACTAAGTTATAAGCAATCTACCATATAGAAATGCTTTTTGTATTGTACTATCTGCCTCATTCTTCCAGTACCACCGTGAATAGGGATTGTATCCCCAGTTATGGAAGTCCTCAGACTCTGAGAGGGGTCGTGGCTTCCTCAGGGTCAATCTGACCCTGTCACCTAACGGGACTTCCTTTCCATCCTCCCTTCTCAGTACCACGTATGGGTGTGACACGTTTTCAGAAGGACATTTTCTCTCTTTGTCTTTGTTTGCTACCCACTGTGGGTCTCTAGGGTCCTTCATGCTGGTGAACAGCTCTGGAAGGGCTTCGGGCCAGAAAGCTCATCTTCTCCTGCCGACCCTGAAGGAGAACGATACGCACTGCATTGACTTCCACTACTACTTCTCCAGCCGAGATCGCTCCAGCCCGGGAGCCTTGAACGTCTACGTGAAGGTGAACGGTGGTCCCCAAGGGAACCCTGTCTGGAACGTGTCTGGAGTCGTCACTGAGGGCTGGGTGAAGGCCGAGCTTGCCATCAGCACCTTCTGGCCTCATTTCTACCAGGTATGACACCTAACCTTGCTCTCTCTCTCTCTCTTTCTCTCTCTCTCTCTCTCTCTCTCTCTCTCTCTCTCTCTCTCTCGCAGGTAATAATTATGTACTTTTATATCCCCGGCCTTTCCTAGAGTGGATAGGTCTAGAAAGGACCTCTTTTGTTTACTCATTCAGCTCACACTGAGGAGGCCTTTTCAGGGATGCAGAGGTGGCCCAGGACAGCCCCTGTCTCCCTGGAGGTCATCAGGAGGAGAGGGACGAATAGATAAACAGTGCCAGCGTGCAGAGTGCATGTGGCTCCCTAGGACCGGAGGAATGTACGCGATGAAGCCTCTTATAAATTAGCACCTGGATTCCACACATGAAAAGGTTGAGAGTCAAAGGGATAAGAAGACTAGCCAGGGATAGGCTATTTGGTTGGGAGAGCAATAAGATAGTTTCTAAGAAGAGAAGACAGCCAGGCCCAATTTGGAAAGTTAAAATACAATACTCTGGAAAGCGAGGGCAAGATACTGGACATGTCTGGGGAAGTAGATGATGCAGGAAGGGAGGAAGGGAGAGTGAGAGATTTTGAGGAATTTGGAAACTAAGCTCTCCTTCTTTCTATGGGTCTTGTTCTAAGGTTCTAACAGACAGTTCTATTGTCTGTGTTTGTTTGTTTGTTTGTTTGTTTGTTTGTTTTTTGAGACAGGGTCTCGTGCTCAGAGTATCCTGAATCTCACAATGCATTCCAAGTTGGCCTTGAACTTATATCAATCTTTCTGCCTCATCCTCCCAAGCTCTGGAATTTCAGAAGTATGTAGTCATGCGCAGCAGAAACCAAGTCCTATAAGGATGTCTTGCAGAGGGGATATACAGGGAAATGCACGTGCAGAGCATGTACGTCGTGGGGGTCCAGGCTAATAAGCCAGCCCTAGAGCAGTAGTTCACAAACTTCCAGTAGGGAAGAAAGGACATCTTCCTCCTAATTCATTGTGGACCAATACTTTTATAAGCCAAACTAAACCATGTCGTTGTGATGCCAAATTGTTGTGTTTGCTTTGAACCCTATTCTCACTCGCCCTACTCATCTCACCGTGGATGAGGATAAATGGTGCAGAATTGCTCCAATCCACAGAATGTTTGCTGGGGTTCATAGCTCCAGACAGTTTTAAGTCCAAATGATCGAGAATTTTTAAAAACACATCATTAGTTAAAATTTCTGTACTATGGAAATGACCTGTGTTTAAGTGTGCAATCCAGTGCCTTTTAAAAGTGTAAAGCCACTGCATTCTGCTTTTAGCACCGTCATCTGTTTTTTTTATTATTATTATTATTTTATTTTTAGAACATTTTCATCATCCAGTAAGCTCCCTTGTACCTAGTCTCAGGTCCCCATTCCCATTGTGGTTTTCCAATAAGAGTACCACACATGTGCATTTTGCAGAGATTTTCTAGTGTCTGAAGCAGAAGATAATCCCGAGGTGGGCAGGTGAGTGGCCAGGGCTTCTCAGATGGCCCTGAGTTCCACACGCACTGTCTATAAATTTTTTCAGTCCATCAGTGTTAGGATGCTTTTCTCCACTGAGCCTGAGCTTGCTCATCTACATTAAGGAGGCAGTTTCAGCCCTATTTCTTCTCTGCTTTGACAACTAAAAATAAGATTTTAATATTCAATTACCTTCAGTACTTAGCCTAGATTTTTTTGCCCCAACTATTTCCCATTTCATCCTCAATGACTTGTGATTTGTTTTAGAATGATTGTCCTCTGTTAGGCATTTCCTGTAATTCCTCTAAACTTAGAGGGGAGAGAATGATGATGATCATGATGGTGATGCCAAGAGGATGGTGGTGGTGGAGGTGGTGGTGATGTTACCTATTACTTGTTGAGTGTTTATGTTACAGGCCTAGTACACAATATCCTGTCGGAAATACATAAGTGAGTCAGGCAGAGCTTAGTCCTGTGGTAATGAGTGTGGATGACACTCATTTTATATCATGTAAGGCCCCACTCACTCTGCGAGAGCATCAACATTTTACCAAAAAAGTTTGCTGAAGAAGAAAGAATATAATAGCCCTAATATGTGTTTCATTAACACTGGGACATTCTTTATTGTAGCTGTTTTGAGAAAGATGCCTTTGACCTCATTATTATTATTATTGTTGTTGTTGTTTTATCTTTCCTCTACTTGTGAAGATGTTTTAAAGTAGCACCAGGTCCACACACTGTGATCTGGCATTCAGTGTCAGATGTATTTCAGAGTTCATGGTGCTTACAGTTTATAAGGTTATAACATTAGCATGAACCATGTGCTATGTACGTAACACCCGTCATAGGCTCTTCATGGCCCTGCAGAGTCAAGTGTACAGATACCCTGACCATGACGTTTGTGCATATTCACAAGATGTGGCCTAAATTAAGGCTGTATGGGGAAATACAGCCAGCCAGGCAGGGTTCTAGGGAGCCAGAAAGAAATCCAAGTCTCGGTACTTAATCTAGTGTCTGCCGTGGAGGTTTGACCTTAACCTGCCTGTGACTGTCTTAGCAGAGAGGTGATATTTTAGAGAGGGTGTCCCAGCTTCCTGGTTTACCTGAGATAGCCCTAGTTTACTCCTCCTGTCTTGGAGAGTTGCTGAGCACCATGGGGATTATTTGAATTGCTGGATTACACAGTGTCTATATAGAGGTTTCCATGTATGTTGGTATAAGTGGTTTCGGCATATCCCTATTGTGCACTGGATGGAAAATGTTTTAGTTTGGTAGGCCTTAAGGTTACTGTTGCCACACCTAACAGACCTAACTTTTCTATTGTGCCATGAAGGCAGGCACTCACCGTATGTCAGTGAATAGATGTAGTCGTTCTAATAAAGTCTTGTGTGCAGCGATAGCTGATGACCATGCTTAGATTTCCATGCCTTAGCTGCCAAACTCTAATGTGAATGAGGCTAAGAGATATATTACAAAGTCCAACAGCACGTTGCAAAGCATTGACAAACCTCTGGCCACAACTTAAATTCCCAGGTCCCTAGGGTGTTCACATTGAATGGCTGAGTGTAAACATTGCTATCTCCATAAATTCACAAATACTCTCACTGAGGCCTCAAGCTCTAATCTGACCTTTTCTCGAGCCTACTTTGAGTAGATACAGGATAGGGTCATGGCTTGAATTATACTAAACAGGATAATTGACACAGAAAAGGGACTTTCCCACAGTTTCCCCTGCTCTTTGATAGAGATGGAGGAAGAAAGGACATTTGATGAGTTCCCATATCTATGGCCCTGTGGTAGGCCTCTCTCTGTATCCCATGTATTTGAACAGAAGCTCCCTGCATTTGCTGGCAGAAGATCTGGTGTAAAGGACATTATTGGTAAATCAAAGTTTCCATAATCCTGCACAGGTTCTCCAGCTCTGAGCCCTGTGTTCTGTGTTTTGAGGAAGCACTTTTCCTATTCTGGGAATCTGCTGCTCTCTAGCTGTGTGGCATTGCCTGTGTCCTGTCATCTATCATTTAGGATCCCAATTGTCTCAGATGTAAGATAGAAAAGAACCAGGGTGGTTTCCTCTGTAGGTTAAGGAAGGTCACAAATGGAAGGGCATGTCAAGCTTGAAGTGACTGGGCAGAAGAAGGAACAGAAATAGAAGGAAAGGGAGGGAAGAGAGGGGACATCTTTAAAGAAAGACACAGCATTGTTTAGCCTGTTCTCTCTGACCTCTGAGCCTTTTCTGAGGTAAGCAGCCTCACCAAGAGAATTGCAAACTATTTCCCGAATCCTCACATTTCCTCTGCTCTGAGCTTTATGATGACAAATCACTCATGTGTTGAGAGCAGCATTGTGGAAAAAGCACATGTCACCTCGATGCACACTCAGCCATTCCTGGACACTCACGTGGCCATGAGCACAGCTGAGCTCACACACATGTCCAAATTCCTGCCACTGCCCAGATTCAATACACACACTCACAGGTAACATAATGAGGAAGGGGGCTTTCCAAGAGACTCAGACAGGAGCAGAAAAGGTTTTCAAATCCTCCAGACTTCAAGCTCCCATCTTATGCATAGATCCCATGGACTGAGCCAAATTCAGTTTCCAGCATTGCTGGGCTTTGAACCTTATGGGTTTGTGTATTCATTTATTAAAGTCATATTTCACAGTCCTAAAATTGACTTCAGCTCTGTAATAAACAAAAATGTCATCTTTCATATTACTGGGCTTTTGACTGCTGGGCTTTCAGCAGGGCCCCAGGTGAGAAAACTCCCTTTGCAGCCGCCATACCCCACTCTACCCCTCCTTGCCTCCCTGGGAAGGCTGATTTAACGCCCATGAAGCCTTGTGCTTCTGATCTATGCCTCTTTCCAAGTATTATCAATTCTATGTCATATTTTAGTGGTTCTGAACTTTTCTACCCTAATATTTAGGGGAAAAACAAAACTTTTATAATTTTTTCAGCCACCTGCTTGCCCTTCTCTCTATTTCCTACCTAAGTAAAATGGCCTTGTATTCAGCACAGAGCAGTGCTTTGTAGACCTCTGAAATGAAGGATACACCTCACATTGGCAGAAGTCTCTCCAGAGCCCAGGCTCTTTCCCGGATCTATCTGGCATCTGGTACTTTAGGTGTAGTATTGACAGTAACAATTCAGGAGGTTTTGTCATAGCAGCATGTCCTCTCTCCCACACTTTGAATCCCACCCACCTTCCACAGGGAGACATCCATCTCTTTCTATGATGCAGTAAATGCTCTTTCTTCTATGTAGGTCCCTCGGAGCTGGAGAGGAAAAGAATGCTCTTGACTGTACTCTAAGCAATCCCTCTCTAACACTTGTAGAGCACTCTTCCTAAGAGTGACTCTGATTAAGCAGCATTTTTTTCCTCTTACCTTTTAAGAAATGTTTACAGCCCTTTGAAATTTTTGCTGTGTCTTCTGCAGAAGATTGCAGAAGATCAAAGAGAAACCCTGAGTCTCTTAAGCCATGACCTGATATGTTCATATCCTTCACACACACACATGATTTGCTTTTTCGTTTTCG